TATATATATATATATATATATATATATATATATATATATATATATATATTATATATATATATATATATATATATATATATATATATATATATATATCCCATTCAATTGCATTGCACCCTGATGCACCCTACTTTAGTATTTTACTCGGTCTAACGCCAGACGATTTTACTCGTCAAGGGGAGAGCGCTGCCGCTTAATGGGTTAACTGGCCTATCTGCCCATGTGTCTAGTTAACCCATTGAGTTGCATTGCACCCTAATGCACCCTACTTTAGTATTTTACTCTGTCTAACGCCAGACGATTTTACTCGTCAAGGGGAGAGCGCTGGCGCTTAATGGGATATATATATATATATATATATATATATATATATATATATATATATTATTATTATTATTATTAAAAATTTTATTTCAAAACGGTGGTTACATCAAAATCATATACAGTTTTGTTCTACCTGTAAGCCGTATATTATAGTTTGCAATATATATTAATTTAATTAATTAATGATCAGCGGAAAAGTGGATATTTTTTAAAAGATCTTTGAACCGCTCTAATGAACTCTCTTTTTTCAAAACTATATATATATATATATACCCTTTGACCTGTCCAGCATGGGTGACCCTGCCAGGAGCTTATGCTCCAGCCGGCATAGCTCTAGGGGTCATGGAGGCAAGCAACTCAACAACTCATGAACTCAAGCCCCCAACCATGGGCTTGGTGGTCTCCAGGGATTGTTCCAGTTACTATTTTTTGAATCGGCTTCTTCGCTCCGCAATTTCTTTCGTAGATGGTGGTGGAACATGGGCAATTGTCATGGAAATAAGACCAGGATCACTTGTGTTTAGGGCAACTTTCTATGTGACATTCCCTGATAAGTCATCAGCTCTGCTCCTGAGAACTCTAGATGTCAGCACTGGGATGTATTCATAACCCTTGGTAACTTTGATTTTTTTATGTCCCACTGCCTGGTCCTAGGATTATACTTTCGGGTGACCATGCATTCGCCAGACTGTAATTTTGCTTGTGGAAGGTTGAGATGGAAATTCCAATCAATGGCTGCCAGCTGACATCGAGCTTTATAAACTCTATAACTGAAAGGAACATTACGTCTTGGTACAGGTTATATGACTTTTAGATTCACATATTACATAATTTGGCACAATGCTTTCATATAAATTTCTGGCTAAAAAAGCATAATAGTACCTAAATGCTGTTCGTTTAGGGGTGTAAACCAACCCAAGATTGTTTGCACATTCAATGCCACCAGTGTGTCTATAAAAGTTTAAAAATATACATAATTGGCAGTAAAGCTAATTTCACTTGTAAATACCTGCTTTCTTACCGGAAACGGGTATAGTACTTGAAACTGCCAAGTAATTCGGGGTTTAGGATGACTTTTTGTAATTCTACAAAATCCTTATCCCGACGATCGAACCATGACAGATTCTCATCATGTTCACCTTCATCATGTTCACATTCACCACCTATCCATTCATGCTCATTGCAGATGTGATGGAGTAAACCAATCCACATATCCTATAAAGAATTACAGTAAAAAAATTTCAAGCTTGACAATCTGACATGTTGGTAGAAAAACAACATAGAAGTATTACTATTGATGATTAAAAAATAAACATACCTTCATAATCTTTAATGCTTCTTTATCAGAGGTTGTCTCGTCTTTTCTGCATGCGCTGGAACAATGCCAAAAGTGGGTAATAATATGAGCTGACCAGTCCTTAACCTTTTTCATTGCCTTTGGTTTTCCAAGCTGAAATATTTTTAAAAAATGCCAAAACAATGTTAGGGCAGGGGCGTAGGAAGCAGCGGGGAGGGCACGCCCCCCAATATTTTATAAGGGGGGGGATAGCTTTTGCCCCCCCCCCAAAAAAAAAAAATTGGATTTAAATACTGCAAAATTCTCGAAACTGGAAGTACTTTAAACCGTATATATCATATTAATAATGTATCCACAATTGTTGATTGTTATGCGATACACCCAAAAGTATTCACTATAGTCCAAAAATGCTATGCATATTGCAGTATATTTTTCCAATCATTTACTGTAAGCCAACCATTGTAATGTTAGCATAAACTTAGGTCAACACTCTGTCAAACAGGCAAATCACAGTTCATGTAACAATATACAAACCTTCGTCAGACACTTTTTAATGCTTTTTGCTTTGTGCCAAACATCCAAACTGTGTACAATATTGTCATATCGTGTTTCTGAAATGGAAAATATAATAAATTAACATATTTTTAGTCATAAGCGTACGGTCAACAAAATCTTTACGGGGTGGGGGGGGAGGCGCCGCTTTTGCACAATGTCTAGTGACCTCCAACAACACAACCCCACTGCCAAATTGTTTTGCCCGGCGGTGAACTAAAAATTGTCCGACTTGGCAATATTTGGTAAATTTAAGGGGGGATTGCAGTTGCAATTCAATATTAATTAAAATCTAAAATAGTGCCTGCCAAAATACAAAAGTGATTATTGTCATGGCGATCAGTACATTTTTCTACATGAGAAAGTACAACAATTATATACTGAATAATTCATATATCAGTTTTATTCCATTGTTCATATAACTGTTGTTGATTTTCAAAAAGAAAAATACACAACTACAGTATCATTATAATATCAACTTACCCAGCAATGCCTTTACAGTTGTGGATGCATCAGTCGCCAACTCACCAACTTTTACTTCCTTGGTGAGTCGATCTAGACACCGCTGTACGGCTTCCTTCTCCATGTTGGTGGATACAAGGCCAACGTGTCTCTTGTCCAAAACTTCAACGTCAAGAATATGATTTGTACTTTCCTCCATGAAGAAGTAACAAAGATTCTTGGCATTGAAGCCTGGTGAGTCACATTGACCATCACCACCAACAACAATCTCCTTGTCAGCAAACTCTACAAGAATTCCTTTCCTCATGCCAGACCACCACTCATTTATCTCTGGAATAAGGTATAGTCTTTGAAATCTGTAGTAGGTGGAACTTGACAGGAACTCCAGATTAAAAAACTTTGCCATCCGCTCAATTTTAGAAAATTGATTGCCAGAGATGGCAATGAATGCTGCTTGAAGATTGTTGGCATAAATATCATTCACTTGAGGTGAAGAACCAAATCTATATTTATGCCCCTCTGAACAAACACTGTTGATAACCACGGTAACACCAATGAAGTGATACTGGATTTGACTTTCAGCTGTGCATCCAGGTGTCTGACATCGCGACTGAAAGATCTGAAGCAGTAAATCAAGAGAGCATACAAATTTTTTTTCTTTTACCATTTTGTATTCCTTCTTCATCGAATACACCTCATCCCCTCTGGTGAATCTGCAATGCGGTCCAAAGGTGTCAGTACACTCAGTGGTGGAATGTGACTGTTGTTGCAGGTTCATGTCATCTGTCTCGTGTTCTGCATCTTCTTCAGTCACCATTTCAAAAATGTCATCCTCTAGCCCAACACTTTCATCATCACTAATTTCATTCATGACACTATTAATAAAATATATTTTAGATTTAACACTGCAAAAATTATTGTTGTGGTGCAGTAATTTATACAGAAACATATCTTTAGAGTTAAAACCACTAATTATGACAGATACTCTATTACTACATACTGTAGCATCCTTGAATGGAGATTAAATTAAACATATATAACAACTTACACAGAGTCACTTTGTCTTGTCATGTCCTCTTGTACAGCATTCAATTCTTCCAGAATTGACTTTGTAAGGTCATGTAAGCTGTAAAAATATATGTTACATTTATTTTTTCTGTGTTGGTGTTATGTACTCAGGTGTATATAAAGTTTGTGATGTTACTCGGAATTGAATCTCAAAATATGACATACCCGAACCAACCTGACCACATAGATCAGTTGGCAGAGCATTGGGCTAGTATTCCACAGGTTGTAGGTTTGCTTTCCACTGTGGCCAGGCATATTTTTCAGGCTTACCCAGTGGGGATATACAATCAGAGTAACATCCCAAACAAACATCATATGTTACCTTAATTATACCATAATAAATGTAACTTCTGAGGGTATTGAACTAAAAACATACCTGATATCTTCCTCTGAACTGTTGTCATCAGTAATTTCTCCCTCGTCATCGGTAAACATAGATGTATTGCCTTTACACAGGTCAATAGATGAGCTGTATTTAATAAAAATAAGTTTTACTATAAGTATTATACAGACAGTACATGTGAGAAACTGATTTCTGTGGGTTGTGGAATAAAACCTATACCAGGTACTGTTGAGCAGAGGGGGAAGAGGAGGGGCATTGCCCCTTCGCCCACTTTTTTCCCTTACCTTAATTATTGCTCTTACTTTATCAACTAGTGCTTTTATGGCATTTATTTTTATTTCAGCCCCCACCCCCACCCCCACTTTTTCCTCAAGACATGAGAAAGCAATGTTACTATCATGATTGTGTCACTAGTAATGCAACCCTTTGAATTCATGAATTGTCAAATATGGCTATTAAAATACCTTTGATTAAGGGATACATCAGTGTCCACAAATCTTTCAGAGTCCTCTTGACTTCCCAATATCGGAGACACAGATGGAATGGTCATGGGATAAATAGGTATGTCCTTTAGGGGAGTGATATCATTGAACCTAAAAAATAATAATAATTTATATCAATGAATTATAAAATATTAAAAAACGTAAAATAAACATCATTAGGATTGCATGGCATTAAATAGTAATATTTACATTTATTATATAGTAATTTAAAGCTTCGTTTGAGTTTACCTTCGGTGAGTTCCTGCTCGTCTGATTCACTAATATATTTGTCGTTGCAGTCTCAGTTCCCTTGTGATGTTGTCTAGGTTGTTGCTCCCTTAGATATTGGAATAAAATATAAGTTCAGCTGTTTGTTATACAATATGTATTTGCAAACGAAAATACGAAATATGATATCCTTACCTTTTGCGATATTCCAATGACAACAAATGGCAAGCGAAGTCGCAATCGCTAGATGCTTCATATCCAGCCTCTGTTTTCGCATCTCTCCATGCCTCGAATATTTTCAACGAAAGGTATATTCGCCTGTGTTGACTGTTCCAGCCCTTTTGTGATGATACCGAACCATCGTATTTCCTTTTTCGTCCTGAATTCTCGCGTCTCCCGCCACGCGCTAGCTCCCCAGTTGCCGCCATCTTGGATATGCTAACTTTGAAAACTACAGCCTGTAGTTTTCAAAATTGCTATATGCGCAAAACGTATGCGCAGTAGACGACACAGCTCCTTTAAGACTTGACTTCTTACCTGATATAAACAAGAATTTAAACATCCTGGCCCAAACTCGCCTTTATTTTAGCATTTGATTTTTGGATAAGTGCTTGGCGGTACAAAATGTTGACTATTTTTAATATACCACCAAGCATTTATGCAAAAATCAAATGCTAAAATAAAGGCAAGTTCGAGCCAAGATGTTTAAATTCTTGTTTATATCAGGTAAGAAGTCAAGTCTTACCAAGAATTTTTAAAAATTGTAAAATAACCGTGGACGGGTTGTTATTAAATGGATTGTTATTTTACAATCCATGGTATAACACAGTTCTGATCATGAAGGCGTTCGAAAATAATGCTGACGTCAGCACTTTTATTTTTCAAGACGCTGTAACTCAGGAGGAATTAATTATATTAATTCAAAATTTTTGGTGACCACTCGTAATAATGATATAAACAACATATAAGACTTCCAGTATTGAGTTATTGTTTGTTACTTACCGTCAAAATGGGAAAGATCCATCACTTTTGTAATAAAATATGTTGTCAGACGCCGGGCGTTGTGAAAACCCGGAATGCCGGAATATCACGGAATATCACGGAATATGGCGGAATATCACGGAATATGCCGGAATATCATGGAATATCACGATATTTTCGCGGAATATACCGGAACATCACGATATTTAATTCCGATGGTAGTCATGCGACTGTTTATAAACATGGACGTCTGACAACATATTTTATTACAAAGGCCGGTGATGGATCTTTCCCATTTTGACGGTAAGCTAGTAACAAACAATAACTCTCACCAAAAATTTTGAATCAATACGATTAATTCCTCCTGAGTTACAGCGTCTTGAAAAATAAAAATGCTGACGTCAGCATTATTTTCGAACGCCTTCCGAACTGTGATATACATAAAATTTAGTTAAAATCCTTGGTTAGTTAAGGATAAGACGGGACTTCTTCCTTGATATAAACAAGAATTTAAATATCTTTGCTGAAACTCGCCTTTATTTTAGCATTTGATTTTGGATAAATGCTTGGTTGTATATTAAAAACAACCTCGTACGTACCCAACGGTCTTTCCTCTTGGGGAGCAAAGACCCTGGCAGACGGTGGTCGCGTGATCTGCTAAAATCTAGCAGATTTCTAATTAACTATCTTGTTTTCTTTACGACAATCATACAAAATGCAAATTATAAAATAAACTATCAAAATAATCCAAGTCTCAAATGTTTATTGACCTGATCTTGGATTGCTAATTAAAAATCTGCTAGATTTTAGCAGATCACGTGTCCAGCGTCTACAAGGGTCTTTGCTCCCCAAGAGGAAAGTCTCTGGGTAATAGGTTGTATTAAAATGGCCATTTTATACCAAATATAAATCAAATGCTAAAATAAAGGCAAGTTTGAGGCAAGATGTTTAAATTCTTGTTTATATCAGGTAAGAAGTCTCGTCTTAACCCTTAAGGCGTTCGAAAATAATGCTGACGTCGGCATTTTTATTTTTCAAGACGCTGTAACTCAGGAGAAATTAATCGTATTGATTCACAATTTTTGGTGAACACTCGTAATAATGATATATAACATATAACATTTCCAGTATAGAGTTATTGTTTGCTACTTACCGTCAAAATGGTACCCTGGGTGCTAGAAGTTCTTCCACGCTCGTAGGGGGTAATGAGGGATACACTAGGATTCATGCTTGGCCAGAGGCGAGCGGGACGAACCTTAGCCTGTGAAAAGGCTAAAATCAATGACAAAAGGTTTTTGGACAGTGATATAATATACACATATCTGCGCTTTTCCAAATACTGTTCAGCATAAAACCACTATCCCTCCCTCCCCCACCCTAAACAATGTTGGGTGGCTGGCAATGAAAATTTTGCGCCAGTATTTCCACACACAACATTGAACGGGGGTTGCGGGGGGTCGATTATGTTGTAAATGTACGCTCTTTTGCTATTTTGTCCAAAGTGTTTTGTCACTGATTGTCAGAAACGTTATGCTAAGCCAATTTAAACTTTTGGTTATTGAACCTAGAATTACTTGTATTTTATAGTATTACCAATGGTGTTTACAAATATTATATATGCCATGTTTTGGTGAGCGTAAACATGGATAATTTACGCATACATTGTATGTCATTATTCTAGTTTAATCATAGTGCGTTTATGCACGTTTCCAGAACTACTCAAACATTGGGAACTTCGTAGTTTGGAACTGCAAGCGAAACTAGTGGAGTAATCTGGAATTTAGGGCTAGTAAACACGTTCGGAAGCAAATGCAATTATCTTTAAGTGCTTATTACGTAACTTTTGTGGAGAATATAACGTCATCGTCAACATCCGGATTAATCTCAAAGCTGTAGTATTATAAAGCGCACAGTATGCATGCTATAAATAAGAGGTAGTTATATAGAAAGCAAGTAATAATGGCTTATAAAACAACTATTTCAGATACAACGCGAGCATATGTACTATTTCTAGGCAAAGAGGAACGATATTCCTGCAGAACGATTGCTAAAAAAGCAAAAAATCTAAATCGTCAGTCCCTCTTATCTGATAGGAAAAGTTCAGCGCAAGCAAGATTTGAAAACATGCCAGACAATTGGTAGACCAAAGACGCTGTCAGATAGAGATCGGAGAAAATCAATAAGAATAATAAAAACTCTTCGTGATAAAGACCCAAATTTTGCTGTTAAGCGCTTGGTTGCGCACAGCAGGCTGCTATCACGTCATATTTCCTATAGGACATCTTATCGTGAGGTGAAAGCAGCTGGATTTGACTATTTACCTGCGCGTAAAAAGGGGATTTTAACAAGCCGTGATGGCACGAAAAGAAAGGCGTTTGCGCAACAATGCAAGAAGATTCTTTCCACAAAGCCCGGATTCTTCTGGCGAAATATTGTCTTCTATTCAGACGGGATTTCTTCTGTTTATAAGACACGGCCTCTTAGTGACGCTTTAGCCCCTAGAGGGCGTGTATGGAGACAATTTAAGACTAGAGTTATAAAAACTTTATATAATATTTATGTAGATTATATAAATAATATTATTATATACACAAGGTCAGGATATGAGGTATTCTGCAATCTGATTGGTTCTCCACTAACAGGATATTAGCTCATATCCGGCAGCTAGTAGAGAAAAACAAAATGGCCGTTCAAACTGAATTTCCAACGTTTTGCGAACGAGAAAACGGCAAGTTGTTCGCTTTTTATAGCTTTTACAGGATTAAAAACACAATAAAAAAACTCCCACAAATTGTTTACAGGTTAGAAAATGAATTTTTAAAATTAAAATGGTTAAAAAATATAGTTTTGAAAAAATAATCGGCCGAAAGAGCGAAGATAAAAACATAAACAAAATTGAAAAATATTGAAAATATCCGAAAAGCAAAGTCTGTGAATTCAGACCTTGTGTATATAATAAAACAGTTATTCCACTCACTCTCGTCGAATATGAGCGATAGCCGATTAGGCGCTACGCGCCTCATCGGCTATCAGCTCATATTCGACTCCAGTTCGTAGAATAACTGTTAATTATCACAAGCATGCCTACGCGAATGCACGTTGTATTGCAGGCTGACTAAAATGCTGGTAGAATAAAATGCTGAGAAATTTACTATGACAACGGATCATATATCGTATTTCCGTATCAACGAATCCCACACTTGTTCGCGTAATAATTTCCATATTTTCTCACATGTATATGATCGTTGTTGGGAATTTAAATGCACAGTTGCGTGAGTAAGGAATAAATTAATACTTTGGCTTCAAATACGCACGCGTTTCGTTATAAAAGACAGAGAAAATGGGTTAAAAGTCGACGATTCCCACTTTTCCCTTTACTAATTATGATGTCATATTTCAATATCCTATAAATAGTGGGAATCGTCGACGAAAGTCGGAATTTCATTGAATCAAATTGATTTCGCTCGAAGTTATCCGCATAATCAATTCCTTTGTAATAAGTACAATAAGCTAAGAGAGAAAAACAGCATGAATTGTTGGACTTAATTGCCTTTTCTACATAAAATGTGACTGGGATTCGTGTGGGATTCGCTGACGTGTCATAAGCTAATTAGTTAGTGACAACCAGAATACTTATTTGTTAACACCTTAATGCACGTTAAATTAAAACACATCACTACAGATCACTGTTCAACGTATAATATTAACTCAGCAAAGCACCGAGCGCAAGCCGCAATGTTTCTTTATTCATCACGCGGAATATGTCTATGGAGCGGAAACATTCGCCATCTTACATTCATCATTTCTGTGTTCACGTGATCAATAGATCCATTGTTAATTAAATCAAGTGGGGCGTCAC